TTTTTTAAATAAAATAGTACAAAAATATGAAACAATTTTGGGCACATCTATAATATTATATACTAATAATATAAACAAAAATAAGTATGATAAACAATAACTATTTTATCAATGATATAAATGAAATGCAAAATTTTAAAACAGTTTTAAAATGAAACCACTTCCATATCTAGATGGTAGGTAGGTCAATGATCTAACATTCTGGGTCAAATGGGTCAATCTATGATGTCATAACTAAGTAACGAATATTAGCTTTGTACAGAGCATTTTGATACAGTTCTATTGTTATATATTCACCATATTAAACAACAATAAATGTGAAAATAAGAATTACTTTTATCGATGATGAAAATGGAATACATGATTTAAAATCAACCAAAAAAGCAAAATGGTTTTTCCATCCAAGTGATAGGTTAGTGGTTAAACTAATGTCAAATGGATCAACACTTGATGTTATTATTAAATAATAAAATACATAAAATTCTAGAAAATATAGAAATTTATCGATAATTTTGGGTATATTGTATAATATTATATATTCATCATATAAAAAAGTGTGATTAATGAGAATTATTTTCATTAACGATAGAAATGGGATCAAATTAGGATAAAAAATAAAGCATTATTGTCTAACACATGACTCGACTAACCATGTCAAATGGTTCAATAGTTTAATTAGGTAGGTCATCGTAGGCAAGTGGCTTGGTAGGGATGCAAACAGATYAGACCAAATTTGAATCAGGGTATATTCAAATCTGATTTGATCCAAATATTCGACCGGATCTCATAAATATTGATTCGAATCCGAACCCAAATCCGATCAAGATGTCGAATATTCGAATATGATACAATCCAATTTAACTTTTTAAAAAAATAAAAATTATTAAAAGGAAAAGAAAATATAATAGTTGAAATAAACAAACAAAAAATATAAGTATATTTTCAACTATTTCCATCATATAAAAAGTTTACAAAAATGCAATATAAATAACATATTTATAAATAAATAATAAATAATGCATATATTATATAAAAATAATATATATAAATACTATATATATAAATAATTGATTTGACCACAATATTAAAAACCAATGTTCAAACAATATATTGGAATTGCATTTCCTCTTGGTAAACAAGTAATTTTTATTATCTCATAAAGTAAATAATAAAAATAAAAATATAGAATTTTTTTATAAATATTATAAAAATTGAACATAAATTAATATTATATATTCATCATGTTAAAAAAATATGTTTGAAAAACTGAGAATTATTGTTAGTAAAGATAGAAATGGCTAAAATACAATGAAAAAAATGAATTAATGTCTTATACATATTCCATTTTCCTGGTTAAATAGGTTAACGGTTCAACCAATAAGGTCATTTGGTTGCTGATTATTATCATCATCATCATTTGATACTACCACGTGCAAAAATAAAAATTACTTTTATTGAAGATGAAAATGGAATACATGATTTAAAATCAACCGAAAAAGGAAAAAAAATGGTTAATCCATCCAAGTGGTGGGTTAGTAGTTCAACTATCCATGTCAAATGGATCAACGCATGGTGTTATTGTTAAATAAAAAAATTCTAGAAAATGTAGATAATTTTGGGTACATTCTATAATATTATATATTTTTTATATAAAAAAGTGTGATTAATGAGAATTATTTTCATTAATGATAGAAATGGAATAAAAAACAAAGAGCATTAATGTATAGCACATGACCCTACTAACCATGTCAAGTGGTTCAATGATTTAATTAGCTAGGTCATTGTAAGTAAGTGGTTTGGTAGGGATGCAAACAGATCGGATTGGATTTGAATCATGGTATATTCGAATTCAATTCGATCCAAAGATCTAATCGGATCTCATAAATATTGCTTCGAATCTGAATCTGATCAAGGTGTTAGATAACCGAATATAATATGATCTGATTTAATGTAAAAAATAATAAACTATTAAAAGAAAAAGAAAATATAATAGTTGAAATAAAGAAAAACAAAAAAGATATAAGTATTTTTCAACTATTTTCATCATATAAGAAGTTTACAAAAATGTAATACAAATAACATATTTATAAATAAATAATAAATAACATATATATTATATGTAAATGATATATATAAATAATTGATTTGACCATAATATTAAAAACCAATATTAAAACAATATATTGGAATTGCATTTCCTCTTGGTAAATAAGTAATTTTTATTATCTCATAAATTAAATAATAAAAAATAAAAATATAGAATTTTTTATAAATTTTATAAAAAATTTTGAACATGCATTAATATTATACATTCTTCATATTAAACAAAAATATATTTGAAAAATAAGAATTATTGTTGGTAAATAAACAAATAGCTAAAATACAAACAAAAAAATGAATTAATGTCTTAATCATAGTCCATTTTCCTAGTTAAATAGATTAATGGTTCAATCAGTAAGGTCATTTGGTTGCTAACTATTATCATCATCATCATTTGATATTGCCACGTGCAACATGTGTGGACTTTTATTAGTTTGAAATAAAAGTGTAAAGGGAAAGAACCAGATGCTGCATTGAAACCACCCTTGAGAGCAGAAAGGTACATTTTCCATGAGAAGAGGTAGACGATGAACAAAACATGGAAAAGAGAGAGACATGTTCCAATTTGGTGTCTTGGAGGAGGAAGACCATTTCATTTTCCGATTTTAAGAAGGGGTAATTTTGTCAAAAATGAATTATTTTTATCCTGCTCACTGTTTTAATAATATGTTTCAAAACGTATCCGATTATGCAAATTCAATAAACTTCATTAATTTTTTTTTTGTAAAAAGTCCATATTTTTATGTTAATAAGTTAAAACATTTTTTAACTAATATATCTTATTTATCATCTATCAAATTTACTATTCAAACATAAAACATTATAAAAATTACAAGAAATTATATATATATATATATATATATATATATTTCCATAAAATAATCGGTTCTAGATCTAAATCAATTTTGAATAAAAATAAAAACCAACCCAATTATTAATCGAGACAAAATCATGAACCATAATTGTTAGATTTATGTTCAATCAATTTAGCTCCATCAGGTAGACCCAACCCATTGGTCCAGCCCTATTTTTTCTTAAATAAATTAATGTTTATATAATAATTTATTAAATTGAATAAAATAAATAAATACAAGTATATTGGCATGGGACTGATATAAGCTATCTCGAACTAAACCAAATCCGTTGATAACCCTAAATATTGGTCTCAAGGGGAGAGAATAATTTGTTAGTAAAATATTTATAAATAAATAAATAATTTAATAAAATAAATAAATGTTTATTAAAATTTTCTCTCAATGTCGAATCTGATTTATTTTATTGATTTATGAACAATATATTTACTTTTATTAAATAAATAAATGCTTAGATAATAATAATAATAAAATAAATAAATGAATAAATAAAAGTTGAGATAGAGAAGAGGAAGAGAAAGAAAAGTAGGCAAGAGAGATGGATGACATTTTATTTTATAGAATGGCATAATCGTAAATAATTATATGTGGCATTGCTGTAATTTTCGAATACCATAGAATCAATTACATGGAAGGCTTGTCTTTTATGTGGCACTCTTGTAATTTTCATAGAGACAATTACATAATGAGGTAAAAAAAGAAAATTTGTCTTATATGTGAGTCATATAATTTTTGAATACCATAAAATCAATTATACAAGGAGATTTGTCTGTGGCATTCCTATAATTTCTTGAGGTCATATATATATTTGACAAATTTTTTGTATTGTTCTATAGTTTTATTTATTTTATATTTTTTATTTGATTTATGATGTCAATAATTGGCCTATTTTAATTGAAAGGTTGAACGACTAACTTGCTACCACTCATTTGGAACCTATAAGTGGGAATATGAAAATAAAAATAAAATTACTAATAGATAATAAAACAATTTCCTAAAAACTAAGGAGATGTTTGGCACAATGGCATTGCATTTTAGATTATTCAATACAAATATGTGTGGGATTTCTTTTGTCAAAAATGTTTTGAATTGATCATACAAATTGTTATTTCTATCCAAAATGTCAAATTTGACGTTTAACCATAAATGACAATGATTAATCGCACACGTGCAATTTTTTAAGGACAAATTTCTTAAAGTACCTCCAAGGTTTAGGAAATTGACTTATTCACCCCTATTATTTAGAAATTGACTTAAAGTATTCCTAAGTTTTCATTGATAATCATTGATTACTGTTAATGAAAAGACTATTTTGCCCTTCAATCTTCTTTAAATTTTCAAATTGAAAACAAACACTATCCTAGGGATGGCAATTTTCCCCATTTCTCCGATCCCCGTGGGGATCCGCCCTAAATGGGGCAAGGATGGGGATGATTTTCCTCCCGTAAGGACTAGGATGGGAAAATTTTCATCCCCGTTAGCGGGAATGAGGCGGGGACGGGGAATGGGGATCCCCACAGGGATAAGGATTCCCGTGGGGATGGGGATGGGGATGGGGATAACCTTGTCCCTGTTAACGGGGACAGGGATGGGGATTTTCGCAGGGACGGGTCCCCACCCCGCCCCGTTGCCATTCCTACACTACCCTTCAGTCTTCTTTAAATTTTACCCTTCAATCTTCTCTCTCTCGTTTGTAATACGATTGATGTTTCATAGCTCTTTGACTTCGTTACTGACCGGTGACTGCGTCTCTTTAGTCGGGACGTCGGTTTTCCAGTAGCTAAATCCGGCGTTCAGAATCTTGCTAGAATAGGTTCCGCATATTTTGGTCACTCGTAGAATTTTTTTTTTTTTTTTTTTTTAAAAAGAAACAAGAAAAATCATGTTCCACACGAGATCAATGAATGGAATTCCATTACCAACAAAAAATATATCTACGCATTGAACCAACAATATATGACTAATATGAATAATACTACTTAGCTTTTCACTCCTTGCTAATAAGAAGGAAAATAGAAACATACAATAACTAAAAGGGTAGTGCATCAAAAACAAATCAATTGCATCCCTACGCTCAGCAGTACCTAACAGAAAGGAAATGAAACGATCTGCAGGAGTAACGATATACAGGTATCCTCTGTTTTCTAATGGTTCTAGGAGTAATCAAAACTTAATGGTTGGTGATAAAAAGGAGCCTGGAAAACAGCATGTCTAAGTTGCTCATGAGACTGAGCATACATCAATGCAGGACTAGGTCATTGCATATACATGGGTTCCCTAGAAGCCTGATTTAATTCCATGGAACAAAATTGCCCCATGGATAGATTTGAAGGTTTGTAGCTTAAGGATGTCTGAGTACTCTGTAATTAATTCAGAGGAAACTCGAATTCATACTGCATAAATGAAGGTTGAAAGATCTAGATGTTGAAAGGCCCAAAGCCAAATATCTGATTAGGCATAAGGTTTCTAACATACCTTTCATAGCTCCTGTCATAATCTCAGGCTAGAGAGTAATAGGGAGAGCTGTTGAAACAAGGCTGAGCACTGTGAAAACCCTGTTTAAGGTTTTCAGTGTTAGAAATAAAAATATGAAGAAAGCAAAGCATCAGTCACAAAAAAAGCAATATTGGGTTAAAAAAAAAAATCTATTTATCACGTGATGCCACATGTGAATAAATTGTGATGAAACACTAATGAACGTTAATAGCAAGGGAAATTTTAGACAATTGTCAAAAAACTTAAGCGTACTTTAAGACAATCAGGTGTTTGGTTCCATTTACGTTTATTCAGTAAATGTTTATTGATGGTGCCACATAGGTGCCATCTCGGCATTTTCTCTCTCTTGCTCTTCTACATACATCGAAAATGTAAAAAGTGAACTTTGGTTTATGTGCATGCCAGCTATTTGTAGAAGTTATTTTTTGAAGCTTCCACAAACAGCCAGGCGTTTATTCACTATTATGCTGAATTGGCGCCTAGTTGTCATAAACGGTTACAATTATTGCATTTCTCGCTTTTACCAGCAAATAAAGTACAAACGTTTATTCAATAAACATAAACAGAACCAAACACATACAATATGTAAACAATAAGGGTAAACTTAGTCAATTTCCTAAACCATAGAGTACTTTAAGAAATTTGCCCTTTTTTAATTGAAATGACACTCATACACGATGTGACTGACAACACATAAGGGATGGCAATTTCCCCATTTCTTTGATCCACATGGGGACCTACCCCGAATGGGGTAGGGGTGGGGATGATTTTCCCCGTAGGGGCGAGGATGGGAAAATTTTCATCCCCATTGACGGGGATGGGGCGAGGACGGGGAGAGCACTCCCCGCCCCACGGGGATCCTAATCCCGCTAATATAAATGTATATATGTATGCATACATCTATATATGTATATATGTACGCATACATCTATATATGTATATATGTACGCATATGTCTATATATTAATATTTCTTAAAATATGTTTTAATCTTTTTAATAGAATTGTAAATTTTAATTATTTTATTTTTTAATTTTTAAATAAAGTAAAAAACAAAAATAAAATGGTTGACATTCTCCCCATCCCCACCCTACCCTGCCCTGTTGCCATTCCTAACGACACATTTCTCACAAATTTGTTGATCAACCCAAAATGCGTGGTGCAATACCATTATACCAACACCCCCCAAGTAAAGCAAACAATTTTCTGAAATTTGCTATTTTATGTGTGATCATATGTAAAATGGATGGAATCATCACTAATCATAGGAAAAATGGCATTCCTTCTTCCAAGCAGAGATATGATGTTCTCAATCTATATTTGGCAATACTATATTCATCAACTTTTCAGGTTTATTTACCAAGTCGAGAGAAACAAGAAATTAATTTTCAATGAAATCCTCCATTCCCCCTTATTTTGCATGCATTCAAAGGCAGCCATAATGTGGTTTTAGCACAGACTGCTTCAAATCATTTGAAAATTGAAACTTGGTATGTAAAAAGGTTTTTGTTGCCGACCCTCCGATCCATGGCCTGCTTTCAACCTATAAAATACCATCCCATAAAGCTTTTAGCCTAAGGTAATGATGGTGCAGAAAACTGTTATCAAAGTGAAAAATGACTTTTGGATCATGCAACCTGCTTGAAGCTCATTCCATTTGCAGATTGATGTAGGACCAACTCAGTTCTAGTCCTCAGAGAATGTTGAATGGTCTTCTTTATCAGAGCTYTATGATTGTTAATGGCTGTAATGGATTTTTGAAGGAATAAGAGAGAAAATAGGGAGAGAAAGAAGAGAGAAAATACCTGGAATCACTCACGGGGTGCCTAAAATCACTCTAGGGCATGGGAATCACTCACCATAGCTAGCATAAGCTGAAGAAAACTCAACATAATTCATTGTCTTTGTATAAAACGTCTATACATATTTATAAACTCTAAACTCATAATAATCTTAGGAGTCAAACTGTTAGACTCAATAATCTTAGTAGGACTCAAACTAAGTTGTCATTATCTTATTTCAATTCAAAGAGTCAATAACTCTAATCCTACTTATGCAATGACTCTGAAATTTTAACATAAACAAACTATAACTAGACAAATTAAACCCCATCATTGTTCCCTACATAAAATTGTAAAAATGACAAAAATACCCCTATCCAAAAATACAAAAATACATAAATTTTCATGAAGTCCCAATTTTGACTCTCCATCTCCTACATCATTCTCCCCCGGTTCAAAAAAACTAGTCCTCGGGTTTTGAAGAACTTGAGGATGAAAAGTTGATATGTCCCAATTACAAAGGGAGTAAGACTTCCCACAGCTACATGCTTGGACTATAGAGTAGAGGCCACACAGAACTAGAAAAGGATCTTGAATGAAATGTGTTGCTGAAACATTGCCTTCCATAACCATCTTTGTTAAATCATCAATAACATTAGTTTCTTGAACACTTTATTCATCAACCAGCCTATGTGATGAATCTTCCCCTTGCTTATCCAAATTCTCAACTGCAACATTTGGAACTTTTCCTTCAACCTCTAGCTTAAGAATCACCATCTCTGTGTGTTCTGCTATCCTCGGTTCTTCAACAAGATCTAGGACTCCTTCTACATTGTTGATGTTGGGGGAATTAGTTCTAGTTGAACTTGTAAGGTAAAGTCACTTACCTCCTTACTAGGATCTACTTCAATCAGCATATTTTTATCTTGCACCTAAATTTCTTTAACTTGCTCCACTTCTATTTCTTCTTGATCATTAACCTCAAGTTGATCATAAGTGTTGGAAACTCCAGCAATTTCTGTTTTTTCTTGGCCTACACCCTCTTGATTTTTAATATCTACAACTTCTATAGCTTCATCCTCAACTTCAACTCTAGGATAGGCATCAACTTGCAAGGAATTATCTACTTTCTTTTCAACTTTGTACCTTTTTCCCATTGACTTCAAGTTCTTTGTTGTAACCTGCTACTTCTTCTTTTGCTTGAAATTAGTCAACTCCATATATAGATCATCGTGGAAGTCTAGTGGGATATACTTTTCTTGCAAACACTTCTTCATCTCAGCCCATGTACTAATTGGATCATCACCTATATTTTCTAGTCGTTTTTCAAGAGTTCTCCACCATACTTTAGCATGACCCGTCAGCTTCATGCGCGCAAATCTAATCCTTTGTTTGTCAAGCATATCATGCCAATCAAAATACTCTTCTAGTTCAACAATCCAATCAAAGAATGCTTGTGGATCATCATCTCCTTTGAAATTTGGTATTTCCCTTTCTCTTCTAACATGTTTGAAAATCTTGCTCTCGTAGCTAACATTATTAGATCTACTTTCTTCCACCATCTTCTCAAATAAGTCAACCAAAGACCCTTCATATTGTTTAGAAACCCAATCATCATTGATTCTAGACCTGTAAGATTGTCTAGAAGATACCTTGGGCCAATAGAATCGGTCACTGTGTGAGAACATACTGAATAAACCATTAGGCTCTGATACCAAACTGATGTAGGACCAGCTTAGTTCTAGTCCTTAGAGAATGTTGAATGGTCTTCTTGATCAGAGTTATAGTTGTCAATGGCTGCAATGGCTTCTTGAAGGAATAAGAGAGAAAATAGGGAGAGAAAGAAGAGAAAAAAATACCTGGAATCACTCACAGGGTGCCTAGAATCACTCTAGGACATGGGAATCACTCACCATAGATAGCATAAGCTGAAGAAAACTCAACATAATTCATTGCCTTTGTGTAAAACGTCAATACATATTTATAGACTCTAAACTCATAATAATCCTAGGAGTCAAACTGTTAGACTCATAATAGTCTTATGAGTCAAACTATTAGACTCAATAATCCTAATAGGACTCAAACTAAGTTGTCATATCTTATTTCAATTCAAAGACTCAATAACTCTAATCCTACTTATGCAATGACTCTGAAATTTTAAATATAAACAAACTATAACTAGACAAATTAAACCCTATCATTGTTCCCTACATAAAATTGTAAAAATGACAAAAATACCCTTCTGTCAAAAAATACAGAAATACATAAAATTTCATAAAATCCCAATTTTGACTCTCTAGCTCCTGCATCACAGATTCGTATTAGTTTTGTTTCACTCCACCTATTACAGTATAGTTTAGTGTTTTTCTTGTTTTGTCTCTAATTGTTTGTCCCTATTTGTTGGTCTCTCGATCATAATTTGAGCATTATTCAATGAAGTTTTGCGGTTTTGCTGGTTGGTTGGGGGGGGGGGATTAGGCAGTTTATCCATTGCTTTAAAATCAGCATCCTGACCAGTACATATGAAATTTGCCAAAAACATCTGCAACTTTATTCCCCTCTCTCAAAGTGTGATGAATGACCACCTCATTCTCTCAATCCTCATCTCACAAATGCTTCCAGTTCCAAAGATCCCAAGGTAAATATGACTAATCTTTCACCATTTTGGCTAGATTAGAGAGAATCGTATAAATCTCTACCTTCACAAAGTGCATCACCTTGACCAACTCTAGTCCTTGTAATAGCGCCATGGCTTCTGCAAACATATTGGTTTTGACACCATACCAGTGGGAGAAGGAAAGAATCATTTCATTATTTTCTCCTCTCTCCTCTAATGGTGCCACTACCACTGCTTGCCCTTAGATTACCACAAGAAGCCCCATCAACATTTAACTTCATATAACCAACAGATGATTGAAGGACATAAACATACCTCAAAGGCTGATGCTTCACCATGACTTCATCTAGGCCTAGACCTCACACTGGCAGTCTTTTTGATTAAAGTTTAACTCCTTGAAGTGTTTTGGGTAGTAAATGATGGATCCAGTTCAAGACCTTGCGGATCACAAACTGCGAGCAACTATAATGGCCTTCCATCCTCCTCTTGTTCTGTTTCCTCAAGATTTCCCAGAGGATAAAATTGGGAGCAAGACCTACTAAGTATCCCCATTGGGTGTTTGTCTTGTTGGCAAGTTCATGCTACCTGTTCAGTATGGTACTCTCTGACTCGGAGTCAATCAAAGTTACCCCCATCCATTGGGCAAAATAAGACCAGACTTTTGGTTGCCAAACAACTACCAATCGGCAAGTGATGCAAGGACTCCTTTTGTGATATCTTACAAAGCACACCACTACGCTGAATAGTTTTCATCAACCCGAATGCAACCATGGAAAACCACTCACATGTAAAAGGAGATATCAGTTGGAGTTCCCCCATTCCAGATCCATTTATGCCAACAAACCACTCCTCTACGTAGCTGGAGTAGAGGTTTCTTGTTTATAGAAAGCATTTTCCTTGTGGCAAACTAAGCATGTTTTCCTTGGATCTTGCTACAGAAAAGAACATTTTTCCTGAGAAAAACAAATAATATCATCCATGGCCATACATGTTTCACATTCAAAGATGAAATTATAAATTTATTATATAAAATGTTTTACTAAGGACGAGTATATACAGAAATGTACAATTCAAACAACTATGGATACAAGTACATGAATCATGTACAATTATTCTCATCTTGATCTTCTTAAAGCCAGTAACTTGCTCCCGCTTGATCAAAATACAAAGCATCTAGCTGCAATTTTTTGGTTTAATTGCGCAATTTACAACAGAAAAAACTTTTCATGTAAATCTATTGAGAGAAACCTACGCATCCCTTGTAACAAACATCTCCTTACCCATTCAGATAGGTCCTTTTGTGACTGTATGATCATAGGATATGTTAAATTAAGCTCCTTATGGACATCTGCATCGCCAATCCAAAAACTTTCCTGTAATGACATCCATTCTAGAATGGTTTACACAAACCATATTGATGCAGCATATCGGCAAGATGAAGATCAAAAGTTTTTAGCATTTAGATGTCTAGTCCTCTCAGATAGATAGGTAATTATTGCCTGCACTTGGATCACAAAAAATCCATTTCACCAAAGTACTGGATACCTCTGAATCCATGCATGAAACAGAGTATGTTTGTTGATCATCAAACAATGCATCAGAAAAATAACCCAGTGAAGTTTCATCATAATAATCCTGCACTGATGCCCCAAATTCTACATTCCTGTAACATACTCTTTCTCAAATAGACTGAACATCTTCTTCAGGCGATCTTGCAGATTTGATGAGATACTCTTTTTTATCTTTTTCTGATGTTTGGTGCTTTTCAGCCACCCAATGCCAAAGAATACTTGAACATATAGACATCCCTTAGATCTGGAGGCGAGATCCTGAATTTGATATCTTAAGTGAAGCTGCAAATCAGTGGAAAGGCACTGTCAATTCTCAACCAAGGTTCTAAAGCAAAGGAATAAAATATACCCAATATCCTCTTACAACACTGAGCTTTTATCAGAATAATGTTAAGTGGTGTTACATAATACATACAGTAAAATGATCAGCAAGTGGAACTCCTTGGATTGTCATGACCTCTTCAATGATCCATCCATTTCTATCAGAAAGAGGAGACTTTTGCTGAGTGCTTGTCACTTCTCCACTGTAACGAAAAAGAGATTTGTCCAATATGTAAGAAATTTGCCTTTCATATAGGTCAGCCTTCTCTAGTTCCCATGGTGTGTAACAATAGTTGGAACATCCAACTTGTTCCATTATTTTACGCTCCAAGGGACCTCCACCAAACATTTCTATTAGCAAGTTGATCTGCAAGTCACCCAAAAGATAACTTTGACATCAAATATTGACAGGAAAAAAATCCTAACACATGCAAATTGAATTCAACTTGGACAAGTACAAACTGTATAAGTGTCCCATTCAATGTTCGGTATACATGAAAACTGGGGAAGACTGAATAATCCAACCAAGGAGATCCAACAATCATCCAATCTACCAAAACATAGTAACTCAGGTGATCAATCAACCAACTGTGCCAACTTGTTGGCATTGAGGTTGTCTTGAATAGCCAGGGGTTGAATTTGAATTCTAGTCCTGACTCAATTCTGCATAATTCAGATGACCAGTCCCCCTGGGAATTTCATGACTACCATAACATAGTGACAAAGAACATGTTGAAGGGAGAGGAGATATGCAAAACATAATGACATTATCATATATGTGCATGCACGCACGCGCATGCGTGTGCGCACACACACACACATACACAGAGAGAGAGAGAGAGAGAGAGAGAGAGAGAGAGAGAGAGATCTCACAGGAACAGGAAGAAGACAGGAATAAACCTCTGACATCCTGGCATCCTCCACACCCAAGATAGAGCCATTATCTTCAGTTTGGAGGTTCTTTGTTTCAGATTCTTCTTCATCAATTTCCACCTTCTGCTCAGGACTCAAGAAATTCGCCTTCCATACAGCCATGATTGTCCTGTTTAATAGACATTAGCTGGTCTGTTCCAAATAAAAGAAAGCAAGATTACAGTACATGTAACTCTAGCTGTAACATATGATGCCCATCTAATTTAAAAATATAAACATCAATTGTACAATATAACATACAGTGCACAAGGAGACTATCCTAGTAAGTCAATGAACCATACACAAGATATGCATATCCAATAAACTCCAGGACCCTTAGCCATATAACAAGGATATTCTATTTTCTGACAGTGTGCCATTTCTGACAAGTGATAAGTGATAACAACACATCCTAAAATTGGGTCTGTGAAGGATCTCTGTGGTGTGTTTATATGTCTGGGTATTACAAATTGTAAATTTGGGTTTGTGAAGGAGTCAATCTGTAATTTTGAGTTATTCTCTAATGTTGGGCTTATATAAGCATTCTTTTGGTATGGATTAGGGTTGAGAGTGAGGGAAGAGAGTGCCTATTTTCATGGTCTTGTATTTCTGAGTATTCTCATAGTGGATTAATCCCTCTTCCCAGGTCCCAAGGACGTACAACTGGCAGAAACCATGTAAACCTTGTCTACATTCAATTTGATTCAATCTATTTGCTACCCTAAATCTATAATATGTACCCCCATACAACACCTTATATTGCATAAACACTTCTAGAATATTTGCAACCCTAAATCTATAATATGTACCCCCGTACAACACCTTATATTGCATAAACACTTCTAGAATATACTTTATAGCACAAAACACCTCTCATACACATCAAACATATGAAGAGATAGTTTACTAGTGCGTTGTTTATCCTCCAAGGATTTTTTGTTGTCATCCAGAAGGTAAACTTTAAGAAAGTGCACTTTAGGCCAACTTTAAAGGTCTAATTCCACTTCAGGAAAGTCAACTTTAAATATGTAAGAAAATGCAATCTCTTATGGTTTGGGGCAGAATGGTAATAGGATTTAAAATATAATTGCAAAAATACAATGTCAAAATATATGATGCTTTATGCTACATATTTTTGGTACTGGGATGGGAGATCTCCTGGGAAGTCTTCATGATAAACCCCTACATTTGCATTGAACAGAATAGCATGTGTCAGCACCCGATTTTTGCTCGGTTCCCTCTCTGACCCACTCCTCACACTACAGATGCCCGATTAGACCCCACCATTCTCTCTAAAACATGTCAAAACCCTAAAAGACTAAATTTTGACTCAAACACCCTGAAATCCACAGTTAAAACTACAAGATTCCCTTTTGACAGCCACGATTGCGCCCCGTCACCACACTTATCATATGATTAGACCCCACTATATGAAACAAAACCTATAAACATCCAATCACAACAAATTTCAGCCATAAATTACTTGGTTTCACCATCCATCCATCAAAGATTCCATTTTAACAAACTAGGCGCTATGACTAAAACCCGCGATCCAAATCTCAACCTTAAATTCCTTGATTTCGTCATCCACTCATCAAAGATTCCATTTTGACGAACCAAACACTACAACTAAAACCCACAATCCAAATACCCTAGACATGATCAAAACCTCCATCAACCTCCCGATCGACCATCCGTCAAATTTCAAATCTCAAAATGACCATTTCACCCTTTATTTAAAAAGATTCCAAATAGACCAATCTTATTGGTGGTCAATCTCCAAATTCAAGATCTTCGTCATAACATATAACCCAACACCTCCAAACCCATCAAAACCTCCATCACCCCCCCCCGATCACCCATCCACCAAGGAAAAGATTCCAATTCAAGCCTTCTCGTTACCCGTTACTCTTAGAGTCACAGATCTATATCACAATACATCTTCCAAGACCCCCAATCTTCCTAAAACTCTCGTTGACCACCCATCAAATTTTAGCCCTCAAAATATTTGTTTTTCTCCTCCATCATAAAAAGATTCCATTTTGAACCTTTTCATTGGCCGAACCACCCATACCTCAAATTCCTTCGATCCAAACACATTTAAACCGATCAAATCTTACCAATTCGTCCAAGACATTCAGAAATCCGATCCTACAAAATGTCAACTCAAAATTCCTCGATCCGCCCATCCATCGTATGAACATTCCATTATGAGCTTTCTCGCACGTCGGATTGCTCGTACCACAAATTGCCTTAACCCAAACACATTTGAACCAATAAAATCTTGTCAATTCATCTAAGACACTCAGAAATACCATCCTACAAAATTTCAATGCAAATTCCTTAGTTTACCCCTCAAAAAAAGATTTCATTTTGGACTTTTTCGTTAGTCGGAATGTTCGTACCTCAAATTCCCTTGATCCAAGCACCGTTAGGCCAATCTGACCCCACCAATCAATCCGAAATGTCCAAAAACCCTACCTTGTCAAATTTCATCCAAAAATACCTTTATTTACCCCCTTTTCTAATCGATTTGACCAAAATACCCCTAAAGTTCACAAAATTACGAAATTATCCTTTTACCGTAATATAAAACCCAACCCGAGCTATTTTTATCAAAAACAATTACTGTTCACCATCATCTCCTTCAAGCTCTCAACTGAGCAACCTAACGGCAGCAACCCTCTCCACCTCCATCCAACTCAGTTCCCCTCTTTCTCTCATTTTTCTCTCTTATCTCTCTCCCCAGACAGAAAAATCGATTGTTCATCTCCTTTCTCTTGAAACTCGATGCAGCAGTGAACCCGATAGCAGTTCCTCCTTCCCCAACATCTTCTCTCTCTCTCTCTCTCATTCTTCCTCTTATTCTTCTTCTTCTCACTGTCATTACTGATCACTAAACCAGATCTGAAACTCTCCCTCACCACCTCTCTCACACTCCGCCACCGCTCTCTCTCCCTATCTCTCGTTAAGTGACTTTTCATTTATGGGCATTAGATAATTCCTCATTTTCTTGTTATTAGTGAAGTCTCATTAATGCGTTTTGTGATAAACATTGTCTGTTAGAGCTTGTTTCTAAAACCCATGTAGGCCCCACCTATCGAACACAGGAGAGGGTGCCTAACCCCTTCCCTCTCCCATCCAAGTCTTACCTAGCTTGGTTAGATCGGTACCTCACATATGGAGTTACTAAAAAGACCAAAATGATTTTAAGCGAAAAAGCCCCGGGAGGCCCATCACTCCCAATTCATTCCCAATGGTGGGTGGCGACTCCAAATCAACCCAAGTGAGCCGTTTTCTGATGTTCACAGCATGGCAAAATAGGATTCATGTAGCTGACCACCTATAGATAGGACAAGGCTTAGATAATGATGATGATGATGATTTATAAATGCTACATATTTTTTTGGTATGATCTAATATTTATGTTACATATTATTTTGGTATAATCCATGTATGCATTTGTTATGTTTAGAACTTGAGAAGTACATAACATATTTTCCTAAATTGAAATTAAATCAGTGTTTTAAAAGCACAAGGCGCAGAAAAACACACACACACAAGGGGCATTTTGCGCCCTAAGGTACAAGGCAAAGTGCATGCCTTTTAGAAGCAAAGTGCAAAAAATGCCAAAACAAATCAAAATAAATGCAAAAAAATTAAAAATATAAACTTCAATTTTAAAATAAATATTTTAAAAAACTATTATCTCAAATTAAAATACATAAACATAACATATAAAACATATTCAAAATGAAAATGTAAATATAAAATCAAACATAACATTTTTTGCTAATGCTGTTAATTCATTCATCCTAATAAAATATATTTTTAAAAGATAAATAAAAAAAAGCATACGCCCAGCCTAAGGTGCATCAGGCGTGCACCTTTTGAAAATGCTGCACCCAGGGCCTAGGTGAGGTGCATGCCTTAAAATGCACCTCACCTGTGCACCTAGGAAAACCTATTAAATCACTGAATTAAATTTTAAAAGATAACATTTTCTTGCATATTTAAAGTTGGCAGTCCTAAAATTGAAAAGTTGGCATAAATTGTACTTCTCCCTAAACTTTAACACTCAGTGGGGCTAGAGACCACACATGATTGACAAAAAATTAGGACTACAACCTACTGAAGCCATGAAAGTTGAGACAAAACTTGGAAGACAAAAACTGCTCAAGCATAGGGTTCAAAATTGAAAGCTATGGGGTGCTTCAAAAGTCATAAGAGCAATTCATTAAATAGGTGACAAAATTTCCAAGGGAAACTCGTGGAGACAAGGCAATCATGGACAAAGAAATAAAGGTGGGAATAAAAGTAGAAATCATGCATGGGTAGGGGATCTAAAGGTGGTATTTCTCCCTCCTCACCATCACATTATGAAAACATCACATAATCCCTTCATTACATAGCATATTGAACAAAGGTAATAAAAAGTAAAGTTAGGGTGCCACAAAGAGGGTCCAAAGTTTATGAGTCCTACTGATGCAAGTCCAGCCCAAAAATCCCAAGCCTAGCATAACTGGACAGGCCCAACCATCTCTATTAGGCCCTAGGTGTTCCTCTTTGGGGCTAATCCCCTCACTTGAGGCCGGTATACCTCTTGGTTCATACCATGAGCCTAATCAGGGTTCTATGAATGTCCCCTATAAGATATTTTTTATTTTATTTCATTCGTTCTTTTATTAGGTAGCTTGAATGCTAAGGAGGGTTAAGGTTTCTCGTTTCCCTCTCTCCCCCCCCCCTCTTTTAATAGTTTTATCATTGAGATATGGGCATCCAGGGGTATAAGTGTATTTTTAATGTAATTTTGATATGGGAGCAGTATGCCACCAGAAGATTTTATTCTCTCTAAACTACTCTCTCTTTTCTTTATTCTTCCTACATTTAAGACTACATTTAATCAATTTGATTCTTTCAAATAAAACAGGTTTCATTAGGTACCTAATGGCAACATTGAAGGATACAAAAGCTTGGAAATGGAACTTCAGTCTCCCTTGTTCATCTTGTGTCTTTGCACCATGCCTTGCATCCATACCTCTGCCTTGTTGAAGAGTAATGATAATGAATGGACTGCCCATTGAGGCAAGTGTAGCAGGAAAAACTTGAATATCTTCTATGTCCTTCCAGAGAAAGAAGAATGTGGTTTTATGTCCAAACAAGCTTGTGTGGAACCCAATTATTCTTGCTGACAGAAAGAGGCGACCCTGCACAGAAGCAACCATAATTCAACAATTTAAAGCCTTTGAAGCATAGGTACCCTGTAGACTGATAAAGAGGAACATTAGCATAATCAATGTTATTCCACAAAGTATAACCCAAAATTAGAGAGAAATGCAAGGTTATTAAGATATTTCAACAAAAGCAAAGCTTATGGGGAAGTAACTCTGCAATTGGAAGTTTAAATGGCAATGATCAATAGCATTGAATGTAACAGCACCTGCAGTGGCATTTTGCGCTTCAAGTGACAAGTAAAATCATTGATAAGAAATTCCTCGGGTGGAAGCCCGAACAGTTTCTGGAATGCTGAATTTGTTTGAGGTGACCGCAAATTTATCTGCAAGTGTTCTTGGTCATTAACAATGCACAACTAAAAGAAAATGGCATGAACTTTGTTAAGAATAACACTGAAGCCAACTTAGACAAAGCACCTTTTTCCCAACCTCCTTCTCCATCTTTACTAGATACTCCTTAACAACATTGCTACCTCTTGTATTGTTCAAAAATATTCTTAGGTGCAGTTTAGACTGACATGCTTGAGCTAATCTTCCTTGAAGAGGGATCCAAACATCCGCAAGGTCTGATATATTAGATTTTACAAAATTGATTTCAGCATGGCCAAGACATTCGGCTTCAACAAAGGATCCATCAAAATCATAAACTTCCACATCCAACACAGAAGGAGGCTCATCCATTGCATCAAATTCAAATATTTCTGTGTATCCAACAGGTTTTCAACAAAACGAAATCAATATATGGAACATTTGAATTTCATACAGATCATTCTTGTTGACAGAAATTTGAGTGCTAACTGTTCTAGGACTGAACCATGGCATCATAGGTTATGCAAGTGGTAAATCTATAGAGCATATTGAAACTAGAAAGTAGAATACCAAAAACAATAGCTCACCATTCCATTCAGGATCAGCTTTCTGAAAAGTGATAGAGCTCGATCTAGTTTTACCATTGCAAGTAAAGACCACATATGGATCAGAAAACCCTTTTGAATCAACAGCTGCTATATTACTTCCCTCAATCAAGGCAACAGTTAGTAGCCACCCATCCCCTTGTGCTTTGATGCCATGATCACTACCTAGAATTGCAAAATTGAAAGAAAAATGAATCAGTATGATGTGAGGCCAACGTTTAAGAAAAGGGAAGCCAAACTCATACTTTTCTTTAGGCTTAGATGGCCTTCATGTGGCTAAAAAGACAGATTAGTAATTGGGACATAAAAATTGTTGTGAATCTAGCTCAATTCCATAGGCCAAAAAAAATGCACCATGAAGCCTAAGCCTGATAAATCACTGAATTGAACCTAAGGCCCAAAAAATTGGGCCCATTCCAAAAAGCCAAATTACTTGGTTCTCAACTCAAGTGGAGATATAGATTTGATTCTCCCAATAAAATTTCAATTGGATTCCCACTAAGCCACTATATAGTGAGTAATGCTTCTAAAGATTTACTTCAGATCAAGAAAATATTTTGAATAGGTTTTAGTTGCAAGTATTGTTAATTCTTTTTCTGTTTAGGAAAATCAAATATTTTGTAGATCTTAGAAGATCCTTTCTGTTTCTTTATAAATATTTAAAGTAATAGCTCATCAGAGCCATTGAATGAATGGATAAAGAGATTTTCCCATTGATGTGTTTGGTGCTGACTCCAAACTTAAGGTGCTGACTCCATCTCTTGGTAGAACTATCAATTGACTGGGTCAACCCTGACAGACCTGAAATGATCTGACCCTATAATGTAGGATATTGGTTTGTATCTTGAGTCCCAATTATTAATTGTTGTAATGTGTATGTAGAGGCCTGCGGCCTACTAAAGGGTCTTTTTGTCTTTTCCTCAGTGTATTAGTTATGAGCTGTCGCCCTAAGTATAAATATTAACTTAGGTGCCGCCAGCCACTCAACTTGGAATAGATCTCTCTTTTCTTTCTTCTCTCTTCTTTTCTCCCTTCTCTCTTCTAGATCCGTCGAACTACATGGTATCAGAGCTCTGATCTGGGTGCAACTTTTCCAGATCTGAGATCTGGTTCTCTTTCCTTTTCTGGAAAAACTATTCTGATTGAAGACTCCATTGTGTGCTTCTTCCGGGCGCAAGTTTCAGACAATTTTTTTTTCTTTCTTCTTCTCTCTTGGTTGCTGTACCAAGAAGAAGGGTGTGGTGGCAGCCGAATGCATTAAAAAATGATATCTGGATCTGTGGTGGCAACCCAATGCAGTAGAAGTTTTTTTTTTTGAGTTTGTGGTGGCAGCCAAATGCATTGAAACTTGTCTTTTCTGAGGTTTTTTTCTATGTGCTGTGGGTCGTGGAAGCCAGGTATGTACTGTTACATTCATAAGTAAACTTTGACTACTGTGAATGTCACAGTTCTGAAGTCGTAGAGACTGGCTGTATCCTTTCTGTGCAAACTGAAGTGTTTCAGCTAAGAATTTTGACCTACAGTACTGTCAAACCTGTGTTATTGGAGCCTACTTATTGTTCAGAGAAAAAAGAAACCTTCTACATCAGATTGGTTTTTTTAAAAAAGAACAGCAGTAATATTTCTGTGGAAATGGCTACTGAGGATTCAGCAACCTCTGGCATTACTTCACAGCAAGGAAACCTAAATGGGGGAATGGACAGCATGAATTTTTCTATGTCTATTACCCCCTTTGATGGCCTGAACTATCTAGAATGGTCCAAAGGCATCAAACTTTATGTTACAGCTAGGGGGAAGGCCGGCTATACAAGTGAAAAAATAAAAGAACCAAAGTCTGGTACTGCTGAACATGATCGATGGGATCAAGAGAACAGCATGGTTATGTCATGGCTGCTAGGCTCCATTTACCTCATGTACAGAAAAATTTCATATGGGCTGACACAGCCTGTGAAATCTGTGAACAAGCCAAGGCAACCTATTCTGAACACAGGCATTTTACCAAGATTTATCAACTTCAAGCAGAATCATCTACATGTAGACAAGGTGACCGTAGCCCATCTACATACTACTCAGCCCTTACATCTGTCTGGAAGGAACTAGACTATTTTCAGACCATTGACAGGAAGAATGATGAAGATGCACAGGACTATAAAAAACTTCTCTCCCAACAGTGGGTTTTTGCTTTCTTACATGGGCTGAACCCGGCTTATGAGCCTCTTCAGGTGCAGATTTTGGGAAGTAGGGAACTTCCTTCAGTTCAGGAAGTATATGCTCTAGTCCAATCTGAAGAGAGCAGGAAAAATCTCATGAATGTTTCTGAGGGGGAGCAACCAACTGCCCTAGCTGCAAGAGGGGGTAACACAGGAATGAAAAAGGGGGAACCAAGGAAAGGTGAAGATAAGGACAAACTGTGGTGTACTCACTGCCAAAAGCCCAGACACACTCGAGAAACCTGTTAGGAATTAGTGGGTAAGCCCAAGTGAGCAACCAAAAATCAAGACACTTCAAAGAAGCCTCCTTAGAAGAAATTTAGTTCTACAAATCTGGCCACTGAAGACTATCAGCAAAGTAATCAAACTACAGTGTTTTCTCAAGAGCATCCTAGTGGTTTTGATCCCAAGGAAGACATCATCAACTCTTTCAGAGATCATTTGGAATTGTATGGTAGGACACTCGAGCAATTGGACAGGTCGGTTCCTACCCCTTCTACCTCATTCGCTTCTACATCGGGTAAAGGTGCTTCTGCATTTCATGTGTGTACCTCTGCTCCTGAGTCACCTTGGGTCATTGACTTAGGGGCATCAAACCATATGACCAGTAAGTCAAATCTCTTCCAGACCTACACTCTTCTTTCTGGAAAGGATAAAGTGAAACTTGCTGATGGGTCTCTATCCACCATTGTTGGTCAGGGATCTGTATCTCTTCCTGATGGCCTTGTCTTATCCCATACCCTTCATGTTCCCAAACTTCCTATCAATTTGTTATCTATAAGTAGTATTACTTAGTCTTTAAACTGTTGTGTAACATTTTTTCCTCATTCTTGTGTTTTCTAGGATTTAACCTCGGGGAGGACAATTGGTAAAGGACATATGGTTGATGGTCTCTACATCCTAGAGAATAAATTTGGCCCTGCGACATCAGCTTTAGTGAGTCTTATGAGTCAATCTACAAACAGTCAATTGTGATTATGGCATAATCGCCTTGGTCATTTGTCCTTTGAGTCTTTGAGAGTTATATTTCCTGAATTGTTCAAGTCAGTGTCTCTTATTAGTTTGCATTGTGAAACGTGTCATTTGAGTAAGCATTGTAGAACGACTTTTCCATCAAATAATAAAAGATCTACTTTGCCTTTCCATATTGTCTTTTCTGATGTTTGGGGCCCTGTTAACATACCTATTGAGGGTGGGTACAAGTACTTTATCAGCTTTATTGATGACTATTCAAGATACACGTGGCTATATCCTATGCACTCGAGAAAATAAGTACCCAAGATTGTGCAAGATTTCCATTGCATGGTTTTCACTCAATTTCATGTTGAAGTCCAAATTTTCAATCGGATGATGCAAAGGAGTATTTTCATCATGACTTAACTAAGTTTTTCTCTTCACATGGATCTCTTCATAGAAGTTCATGTGCCAGAACACCACAACAGAATGGAGTTGTTGAAAGGAAGAACCGCCATCTCCTCGAAGTTGTTCGTAGTATGATGCTTCACATGCATGTTCCAAAACGTTTTTGGGTTGAGGTTGCGATGGCTACAGCTTATGTTATTAATCGTATGCCATAACGCCTTCTGAAATACAAGGCCCCACATCAACTTCTCTTCCCTCAATCCCCTTTATTTTCCATTCCTCTACGTGTGTTTGGGTGTAAATGCTTTATTCATGATCTATCTCCTAACCGGGGTAAATTGGACCCCAAATCTGTTCCGTGTGTTTTCTTGGGTTATCCCTCTTCCCAGAAGGGCTACAAATGCTTCAATCCAGTCACCTCTAAGTACTTTGTATCTATGGATGTGTCCTTTATTGAGTCAGAACCCTTCTTTCAAGCCTCTCCTCAGGGGGAGAATAGTGTGAAGGAGGAGAGGCAAGCTCCAGCTCCTCAAATCCCTCTTCCCCCTATTCCTAACTCCTCTCCATTTCGTGTCTTCTTGAGACGCCGTAAGGGATTGTTGAATTCGAAGGCTATGGAGCAACTTGAGACCATACATCCAACACCTTCTAACTCCTTGAAGGAAAATTCAGGTACCCTTGTTCCCTTTGATATGACTGAACCTATTGCTATTGATGATCCTACTAATGATCTTGATGTCCCAATTGCTCATAGAAAAGGGGTTTGATCATGTACTACTAAGCATCCTATTGCTCAATTTTTATCCTACGAAAACATTGCTCCCACATTTCATGCCTTTTGACTGCCATTGATTCCATTTTTGTTCCCAAAAGTGTTGCAAAAGCCTTATCTATACCTAAATGGACAGAGGTAATGAAGGAAGAAATTAGTACTCTTCACAAAAACAATACCTGGGAGTTGGTGAATCTTCCCGAAGGCAAGGAGCCAGTGGGATGCAAGTGGGTATTCACAGTAAAGCATAGAGCAGATGGGTCGGTTGAAAGGTATAAAGCCAGGCTAGTTGCAAAAGGGTATACTCAGGTGTATGGGGTTAACTATGCAGAGACTTTTGCCCCAGTTGCTAAAATGAACACTATTCGGATTATACTATCCTTGGCTATTAACTTTGATTGGGAGCTCCACCAATTGGACATAAAAAATGCTTTTGGGTTTGTAGCACAAGGGTGTGAAGGGAAAGTTTGCAAACTAAAAAAATCTTTATATGGTTTGAAACAATCCCCAAGGGCCTGGTTTAGCAGATTTCACTTGGCTTTACAGCAAATTGGGTTCAAGTAGTGCCAATCTGACCATACTCTATTTGTCAAGAGAAACCAGAAGAATGTTGTGGTATTAATTGTCTATGTTGATGACATTGTGATTACGGGGAATTGGGACTCTGAGATTAAAAGGTCAAAGAATCCATTGCTATGCAATTTGAGGTGAAAGATCTGGGATAGCTACATTATTTCCTTGGTATTGAGGTTGCCCGCTCAGAAAGGGGCATCTTCATTTCCCCAATGAAGTATGTCCTAGATCTTTTGCAGGACACAGGA